ACTCATATGATTGTGGGGAAATTCTTCTTCTACCAGTTTTTAATCACCTTAAACGAAATTGGTTGAAAACATCTTAAGAATAATTCTCACGTCTGGTAAGGGCTCAGAAATCTACTTGATCAGAAGCTTGTCATTCGATCCATTTCATTTGCTAATTAAATTTTACCTCATAGAAAATACCATTTTAATTGTAAATCATAAGAGGCCTGGTCTAGCCTATTATGAAATTAACATATATTTTATGGCAAGTTTCATCTGGAGTTGTTGAATCGAGTGGTAACGTAGCCGCTTAACATGGGCGATCCGATTTACAATCTCGTAGGAAGCTGGAAAAACGTGTATTCCGGCCTTTTGGGAGGTAACAATAAGTCGAATTCAATGCCTTCGTGAGACAGTACACTCCTTTAACTGTAACTTCTTCCAATAATAGTCATGAATCACCCTAGTTATAACAGACTAAATCGTGTTATTATTGAAAAAAAGTAGTGTTCTCTGCGAAAGTCGAAGGGATCAAAATCTTGTTGGTATATGGAAGCAATTGGCATGCAATTGCACTGAAGCTTCCAGAATTTAAAGTGACAAAATTCTCATGTTAAAGATGTCCTCAGAAACATTTCCGAATTTTAATTTATTCCGCAGTATAGGTGGATGGAGCATTAATTATTCTCTACCAATCGGGGTAAGTAGTAAATCAGTAGTATATGCTAGCTAGCATAAAAAACGGTTGTATATTTATCAATTTACCATTTGCTAAAAAGCGGAAAATTTTGATGTAAAATTTGGAGATATATAATTCATATTTCCAAAAATGTTAAGCTCATTATTGCCATGCTTAATATTCCATCAATTTTGAGAACAGGCAGTTAACAAGTAAATCTAAAAAGGGTCAATCGAAAGATGCCTACGCGCAAAGATTCAGCGTTTCGTTTCACTTCATTGTCGAGCTGCTTCGTTTCACCCTCCAATTCGGTGATGCGATCGCGAAGGCCAGTGTTGCGAGAGCTCAGGTCGTCACGATCCCTAACAACTTGTCGGTGGGCCGCAGTTAGGTCCTCGATGCACGACTCCAAGTGAACCTTGTCCTTGTTGGCCAGCTCCACAGTGGCCTGAAGGCATAGTACCGAATTCGAGGGGTCGAGGCAGAATGGATTTTCAAAAGGGTAGACGGTGGAAAGAGAGGAAGGCAAGAGAAGAAGTAACAGATAAAACCGCTGTAAAGGATGAAGGAGAAATGTTGGAGTTAGAGGTAGACGATTGTTGCTATCGCGGTGGAGCGAAGATGGAAAAGGATAGTGCATATGAAAGAGTAAGTGGCATGGAACAAACCAATAGAGACCAAGATATTTAGAACCTCGACAAAAATAGATCATAAACCCTTTTCTTCTTTGAGAGATGCACAATCTGAAGTATTAGCTACCCCGAGCTGGATGGCTGTCATTTGAGGACACGAAAGCTGACAAGGGACGGATCAAAGAAGGATAGGGTAACAGAATTTGGGAGAGACAGGGAAACGCAAAGGTTAATTTAAAGGCAAAATAAATGTAAAAAATAACCCATACGTGTGAATGCTATTTAATGGGCTTTATTGCAAACTAACGGTAAAATAAAGTGAAACAGAAAGAAAGGAAACGATTAAATTTTCAAGATTCAATCCTCACCTTCATTTGTCCTCCTTGAAGAGAAGCAATGTGGTATGTAGGCAAGAGGAAGCCACCCAACTTTAGTCTGTAAATGCATAAACGAGATTCGACCATCGCAATGCTGATGAAATCTGTCAAAAAGAGCGTGCGCTATGCGAAAAGTTGTCGAGATTAGCAGTGAGGGGTAGTCAAGAGAGACGGATTCTAGCTTGTCAGCTGAGAATGGAGAAAAGCAGAGCCGAAGTCGACAAAAAAGCATAAAAAGGACTTAAAATATGCGCGCTAACGAAAGCGAGAGGTTCAAGCACAGTCCTCTTGAGTTGCTAGGCCTCGTTGGCAGGATGAGTCTCAGACCTCGTTCACCGCCAAGCCAATAAGAAAATGCAAGTGCCAATTTGTTAGGAAGAAGAATGTACAGTAAATGGTTGTTATTATATCATCATTTCACCCCTTTCAGCATCACAAAAGGACGTCTTTAAGCCACAAATCTGCTTTTTCTACCAGACAAGACGGTTCTCATTATTTAGGGCCTCGAAGAGGCAAAAAACCCATATTTCCTCAAATCCTTGTCAACAAAATGGACAATTGAAGATATGAAGACCAAGATGTTGTGGCCTCTGGCATGGTTGTAGTCTACTTTGGATTTATAGAAGTGGGTTGCGAAGGGAAGCTGGGTTTCATAATAGTTAAGCTGA